ATCGGATTAAATTTTAACTCATACGACCAGCTTCAATATTGCTTATCTTGGGTAGGCTTTATTTCGATGGAGGTAAATCATCAACAATGAATTTATTTTCGCAAATATGCCATAAAATAGATCTTAAACACGTCAACATTATATATAAAAAACTAGGTGAAGCCAGCATTAATTTACTTATCCCATCCTGGCTGGAGTGAGAGGAAAGGGACTCTTACTGACTTATAATCACTTCGCTCCTCTTTCCTGCATCGGGCTGAGGCAGCTGTACATAATTGAGCTTACACCCACAACGCCAGCTTAACTGGGTAGGTAAACTCAACTATATGAAAAAAGTATTTTCGCATACATTTGTTAATATGTCAAATCAAGTCAACCTTACTTAAGTTAACTGTGTTAAGTAAAATGTTAGTATTAGTAACTCCTTTAGTGATTATAATCAGCATCGATTGCTTACCTGCAGTTAACAAAGGTTTTTTCGCCGACCAAATTATGAAAAAAAAAACTGAAAATAGAACTCTTATTAAAGAAACCTCCTTTCGAAGAACATAATTCAAAATGAGAACAGCAAGAAATAAAAATATATTTTTCTTTTTAGAGAAGCAAGAAAAACTACAAATGTGTTCTAAAAACTAAAGTTGAAGGAAAAGCGCTAAATCTTCGCAGTCGTCGTGTAAATACAGGATGTTGTTTATTTCTGTACATTTTGTTTAGCGTTTGTTAAAGTACTGAATCCCGTGTAAACAGTACTAAAATACTGTTTTGTTCACTTCTAAGTACTTATGTACAAAGTACAATGTTTTTGAGTTCCTTTTATTTAATTTGGTAGATTTTTATAGAAGTTTGTTTTGCTAATAAAGTGATTGTAAGCGTGCCTTGTTAATGGTATTATTATTTGGTCGTGTAGTAATTGAGTGTGTTATTGAGTTGTCAATTTTTTCGTCTTAAATGAAATAATTCCACTTTTCTCTTCTGTTAGTGTCTAGAAATATACTAGTACAATACAACAATATTGTATGAATGAAATGTATGAACATTAAAAAAAAACATGATCGGTATGTTGTGTGTGTGTGTGTGTGTGGTAGGCTGTAATCGTTATTACATAAAATTCATAACAAAACTTAAGAAAATTTAATATAACAATAATATTAGGTACAACACATTATTTGTAACCTGCAACAACATTTTTCTTAACACCCACACCTTTACGAAACCCAGACCTTTGCGAAAACATTAACAACCTTAATTTACATCACAATAGTAATGAAATTCGTTTGTAACCTCACTGAATTTAAACTTCCTCAATCCTTTTTCCTTCTAACCATAAAACCTCGACAAACGAAAATAGCTTAATCCCTGTGCTGCAAAATCCAGTGTATCTCGTCCTACAACTTGTAGGTAGTTTGTTTGTTTTGTAGGAACACGTAAACCCTCACAGACCCTCATTAAATACAAAACAGTACTAAAATGTTGCTGGTCCTAAGATACGAAATCATCATTTGTTTTTTACTTAATATTTATAATGTTTATATTTAAGTGAACTGTCACTTTAAATCAGTGGAAATTTCAAACTGGTGAAGAAATGCTTTTTCTTACATTAGGTGTAATGTTTGGAAGGTGGATAGGGCGCAATATTAAAACCATAGGTGTATTGTCTTCATATTATAATAATTAGGCAATTTTTTGTGGGGGGAAATCATCAAATGATTTTTAACGCCCTGGGTGGGGTGAGAAAGAGTATAAGACTCTAACTGACTAAAACCTACCTCAGTTCCGTCTCCTACTCCACGTTGACGCCGTGGCACATTATTGCACCTGCAACCCTGCTGAATATTGGCCTCATAGCGCTTCATATGTGGTGGTCTAGTGGCTCTTTGAAGCCATGTAATTAGAAATTCATTTTAATCTTAAGATAAGAAAAAAATATGATACTAGTTTAAGTCATTACAGCATTTGTGTTTATTGTTACAACTACAGTCTATCACTCTGTTCCTGAATAACTTACCTACTATATTATAAAGTCAAAAACATCCAATCATAGCATTACCGGCTTCTAAACCAGACAATCACAAATAACTATAATAAAAACCAATATTTTCTATACACTCTGATTCTCGTTTTTCTTAGAAAAACGGTTTACATAAGAAAAATAACATTTAGTCTCCTGAGGGATTAGAAGACAGAAAGAACGAGTTGATGTATCGAATTTGGCTGAACAAAATCGGTTCTCGACTGTCTTTTTTTGAACGATACAAATTTGCCACAAAATGGTTGTTGTTATGCTTCATCGTTTTACTGTAATAACTAAATGAGATTTCAAATTCGCTTGGCAAGTTTAGGGATTGTTGAAAGCCTGTTGTAACGAATGCCGAATGATGACGGGAATCTGGTTGCGATTTCCAACGCTAGAAAATACCACGACCCAGATCCGGTGCAAAAGAAGAAACTAAATGAATATTTAAAGGAAGAATGTAAACATGTAACCATATCTATATTGACTAACATAACAGTATCTATATGCATATCCATAAGCCCAACCAGAACTAGATCCGAGCGGTCGGCGTGTGCATTCCATGTGTACCACAAAGAACCAATAGATCACCACAGACGCTGGCATTCAGCCGGGGTTGCGGGGCAAGCGCAATAGGTCACTGCAGAGTCTGCCCAGGACAGGAGAAGGAACAAGGGTTTTTAGTCAGTAAGAGTCTGACATTCCCTCCCGCACCATCCTGGGAAGGAGAAGGCATTGTTGATTTCTCCTCACAAAAAACGTATATGCTTAAAAAAACTCAAAAGCTTAATACATATATGGTATTAAAATTCATTTCACTACTCCATTGTGTACCCAAAACCTGTACCTACAATTCATTATGAAATTTATTAGGTGTAAAATTGTGAATAAAATTCTAGACCCAATGGAAAGGGACCGTTCTTATTGTTTACATTGTAAATAAATGGAGTGACCCGGAAAATTTTCCCACCTCGACGGGTAAAGTGAAATACTGCTTTATTATAAAATAAAACATTTTTAAAATCTGCGTAGTTTGTTTAGGAAAATAAATAGGTAGGTACAATGTTTTTTTTATTCTGTTGTTTAAAATTAACTGTTTAGTTGATCAAGTAATTACAAGCGCGATTTTTAGTTACACTAGAGGACCGACCAACTGACTTTGATTTTATATTTCCTTATACTTACTTGTCTAGATATTAAGTTTAGAATAGAGACTTTTATGTATAAGTAATCTTAATTCATCAAACCCCAAGTGAACGCCAGCTTTCGCGTACCTATTGTGTCTCTAATTAATTTAAATAATCTACATAACTACTATTATTTCTGCTCTCTACACATATTTTTAATTACATAAATTTTCTTTATCAGCACTACCTTGAGTGGTAACCAAAAAATAACGTTTTTTGCTAAAAAAATCAATTTTTAAGTATCGTATTTTCTTATAATAAAATAAAAAATCTAACACAAATGAAATTTCTTATAAAAACTAACAAGCTGCTCCGAAATCCATCAGCGAAAGTTTTCTTATCAAAAAATCCAATTTTGAAATATAAATGGTAGGCTATATTCTCTGATCAACCAGTTTATCGAACTCGACTAATTATGTGTTAACGAAGTAGTCAGGTCCATGGAATCCCTCAACAAAACACTACAACAACATAAAAAAAAAACTTTGCCCCACTCTTGAATTTTCACCTGTGTCGTTTACAAACATACAATTTCACATGCCAGACCCGGAACAACAATCTGTGGGTCACACAAAGAGTTGTTCCGTGCGGGAATTGAACACGCGACACGTTGCGCACCCGTCAGTTGCCCAGCCAACGCGCCGAACATTTATCAAAATCGACAATTACCATACATCCCTAACGTAATAAAATATTATCTTATCTAATTCACTTCTAAGCGCCAAAAACTTACGCGCCAAAATAGCTTTTATCCCCTACAACATTAAAACCACAATCGGTGTTTAATGTTATTCACCGATGCATAAATTTTAGGCGTCCACCGTCAAACAGTTCCAGATAAGATTAAAGAGCTTAGTTATGTTTTATCTTTACACTTCGTACTAAAATGTAAAGCTTGGGATAAAATTTCCATTGTATTAAAATATTAACTACATAAAAAGCTTTACAATTATTATAACAGGAAAAATCTTAAAATCTTAAATAAGGAAAAACGGTTCAAAGGTCAGACAGAATACTCAGATGTACAATTTTCAATTAAAAAATAACTTATTTATATTTCATTCTGTTAAAAAAAACCGTGCGAAAAATGGACTATTATTTCTTTATCTATTAAGGTAGTTGAAGAAAAATGTCTTCTTTATAATTTTATTAATGAAGTAAGCAGCATAATAAAATTTAGCAATACAGTCTTAGTCTTATGGGCCGATTCTGCAAGAGCGGGCTTGATGATAATCTAGAATTAAAACATGCCCAAGAAAATTCAGGGTGGTATCCAGTGTATTCTACGTATTGCCATTAAACGGTTCAATTTAAGAAACAATCTTCTGTATGGCATAAAAACAAATCGCAACATGACACGGTATACAAGTACGTCTCTAAACATTTAAAAAGTGTGAAATCGATATGCTAGTATTGCGCGTCGGAAAATATTAGATAATGTACCGTGGCCCACCCTTTTTTGGGAGTGGCCAGGTTGGGGGAAGTGTCAGATTCTTAGTGACTACTGTTCCTTCTCCTGTTCTACCGAGCGATCCAGGCTGAAAAGAATTCGCAGTCGGCCCCAGCCTGGACCAGTGGGTGGTTTTTAGTCATTGATAATCTGCTTTTCCCTTTCACCCCACCCAGGGCAAAAGCTTTGATGATCCTTCGCTCACAAAAAAAAGGCCGGATCCCTACAAAAAGCACACTTAAATGTTCATCCATTACAAAAAAAGAAGATAATGTTAGAGCAACACTTGCTCTAAAATGTAAGATGTCTGCCAATTTAGTGTTCGCTACTAAACCTCACTTTTTGTTGACAGGGTCTGGAGATCAAAGGTCAGATGGTGTTCTGTTCTGAATCAGACTCACTCTTGTTCGTTGGATCACCATTTCTGGATGGACTTGAAGGTCTTACTGGCAGGGGTCTCTTCATATCTGATATACCCTTGCACGATGCCACGCGAGATGTTATACTTGTTGGCGAACAAGCTCGGGCTCAGGTAAAAAATTTTGTATTAACTTTTAAAAAAATACGTTAAGAATTAACAACATAAATTACGCGGGTAATAACGCGAAAATAATAAAATAATAATCAGTCTGCTTGTGACCACGACCTGTGCAACCAGGTCGAAATCAAGCCTACCAAGGTATTTAGATAATTATTTTCGTGTTAATACCCGCGTAATTTATGTTGAAAATTATGTATTATTGTCTTAGCGATATTAAGGTCATTACTAACTTGGAAATTTTCATTTTAAATAAATATAAAGCTGATCAATTTGGAACTAAAAGTCTTGAATTGGAATATCATAAACGTAGTATTTGTTTACTATGAAAAAAATTACAATATTTACATATTTTCAAAATTAAATATCTACGTAAGCTAAAAAGAAGAAAAAGATCAACAAAGCTTTTTCGTTTTACTTAATCCTAATAAATATTTATAGCTAATCCATTGACTAAACCAAAAGCCTGATTGTTTTAACATAAAGTTTCAAATTAGGTATTCTAAAAAGCAATAAAAATCCACAAACTAAATATCAAAGGCTTATGAAGAAGGAGTAGTTTTCAAAGCGTCGATTAAAAGAGACACTTGTTGAAGAAGATCTTCAAGTACCATGTCTCTAGTCTAAACCAGTGTGCTCGAAATATGCTTTGTGAAGACCAGAACTTGGTTCGAGTGACCGGCAATGGCCTTGTTAAGAGTTAAAGTGAAATCTATTGAGCAATTTTTACAAATTTGACTTTAAAATGCATGCAGAATAATAAAAAACATGGATCTGTTATTGTGTTTGAAATATAAGCAAATACATTTCCATTTCACTAAGATTTAACCCACTTTAGTCGTTATTATGTTATGACAAACATGACCAAAATCTTATATTATTCTTTTATAAAAAGAAATGATTAGGTTGTTTGTTTGTTTGGGCTCAACACGCTCCGAAAATCTTTAAATAAAAAATACTTGTTCTGTTGGGAAGCAACTAAATACCCGGTAAACACAGACTAAATTACGCAAGTGAAACTGCAGGACACAGCTAGTAGAAAACAATTTTGAAAATTCTTGAATTGATCTAGTCACACATCTACCTAAATAAGAAAACAAAAGCACCTTCATATTAATTTCATTTCTTTCCTTTCCACAAAGGATGGCCTCCGCAGACGCATGGATAAGCTGAAGAACTCGATAGAAGAAGCCAGTAAAGCAGTTGATAAGGAGAGACAAAAGAACGTCAGCCTTCTGCATTTAATATTTCCCCCTCACATAGCCAAGAGACTGTGGTTAGGTAAGTTTGTAAGTCAATTATCTGTTCGTACACTTTGAAATTGATTTATGTATGGTTTAATTTAAGTACGCACTGTTTGATTAAAGTTCCTTTAGGGGAATTGAAGTGAGTTAGGCGTTAGTGGGAATTTAGCGACTGGAATTTGTTTTGTGACACAGTTAACTCGAATCTGTCTGATTGCGTTGTCAGACTCGTGAGTGGATACGAAATCTTTAAATAACTTTCCCCTGACCTTCTCGATGAGATTGGAGTTGGTTCTAAGTAACTGAATTGGTTTGTTTTGTTTGATTTTATGTGGTGTTTGCCCTTTAAATCTTGTTTTACGACTGCTTAGTTAGATTTCATTTAGGTCTCTGTGGTTTATTTTTCTTTAGGGAAAAATTCATCCAATGAATTTTCCCTGAGTAGGGCACAGGGAGTGCCAGACTACTAACTGACCCTCATCGTTCCTTCTCCTGCTCCGTCAGGGGCTGTACATTAATATCCTTGCACCCGCTTGGGGTTAAGAACTATAGGGAGTTTCAAACTCAATTTTGCTGAAACTATATATGGGCATTACAATTGAGCTGTGTTTCCTGCTCTTAAGGTTTACGAACAGGCATAACTGCCACCCATCGGCATCCCCTTTTATATGAGCATACAGAAAACATGTATTGTTTAATTTCCCTCTTAATCATCTTTTGAAAGCGTTGTGTGGTGAACTTTGTACTGTGTATACCACACGTAAGCACCTTAAGTTGCACCCTTTTATACCACAAGCCCTTAACAAGTCATAAACCTGAAGCGTCTTGGTTTGTGACATTTGTTTCGGCACGTCTACGCCACGTGACGCAGTCTTGTCACGCAATATTGTCGTACAAACTCAATGGTAGGGGATATGAAATACTTTGAAAATGTTATTTTCTTTGTAAAGGTAGAGAATTTATGTTAAGAGTAATTTTGGCATTTCTTGTTTTTGTTTGCTTAAAGTGTCGTTCAAGGAAAATCTGTTGTTAGTTACAAAATGGAATTGTGTTTTATGTATAACATGTTACGTAAGATTTATAACATACTATGGAAAGATTTTAACATTTAGTTTGTATGCCTGGGATTTTTCCCCTTTTTACCGAAAATGTTAACTTTGATGTTCTATTAGGATTTCACTTTTTCACTTATTTTATTATTTCCATATTGATAGTTAACCTTTTTTCAAACATCAAACGATTTGAATTTTATCTGTTAATTCCTTTGTAGGAAATTTTTTTTATGTTGATTATAAAATCTTAGAAGAAAAACCAGCCAATATAGAGTAAATACTTTATTCATTATTTATATAATATAACAGCTTATTCACGAAACTATTTGACGGGATAACTCGACTAGTTTCGAGCCACACTAGGGGTTCACATTCATCATCAGTCACGCGCTGGAACGTAGTGCAGCCAACTGAATGTCTTGTCAAATGGTTCCGCGAAAAAGTCGTCAACAATAAAAAAAATGTTTAACATGAAAGTTACACATTATATTTTATTATTATTATTATAATTTCATACATTTATACCAAGCCATAAGTTTCATATGGGCAATGATGTAATAAACAAAGCTTAATGGCAGACAGAAAATTAATTACTAAGTTTAATCGCAAATTGTGTGCACTTTACAAGACAGGTGCGCCCACCGCTCATAATCTCATTTAGTTTACAACCATGGCATGGCTAAATTAATTAATGAAAATTATGTTGTGATGGTTATTTATCATTTTCGGCGGAAGCGTGCATAACATAGCCAAAAATTAGGACGGTAAAAGTAGGTAGGACAGGATGTCTTTGGTTATAAGTTTCTTCAATTTTGTAACGAGTACCTGGCGTCATTGACGAACAGAATGTCGGTAATTACTTTATTTTGACGTTTCAGAAGTACCTGTATATAGTGTAGTTTAAATGAATATTTTTTTGAGTTTGAATTTTACACTATCATTATAATAACTGTAATAATGAGTTATGAAAACAAAATAAACCTTAAAAATCTACAAATACTTGGAGAAGTATCGAGTATCCAGATACCTACTTAAGTAGGTCCAGTTAGTGAAATTTCAAAGTGCTCGTAAGGTCACTAGAACATCCACTCAGACTATCACGTACGGGGCCCTGAAGGGCTGATGCTCAGCCGCAAGTGCAACAAGGTACCACGGCTTCGGCCTGGAGCAGGAGAAGGAAAAGTGGGGCTTTTAGTCAGTAAGAGTCTGACACTCCCTCTAACACCCTAGGCTAGAGAAAAAAATACAAGAAATGCAACAAACCTTCTCTAAAATGAGAATGACTGGTGGAAGCTGTTCCCTGTATTTATTAATTTGCTCTATAAATCTTATTTTGTCATAGGTGAGAAGATTGAAGCGAAGAGTCATGATGACGTCACAATGCTGTTCAGTGATATAGTTGGCTTTACTTCAATATGTGCTACTGCTACTCCTATGATGGTCATTGCTATGCTCGAGGATTTATACAGCGTGTTCGATATCTTCTGCGAGGAACTTGATGTTTATAAGGTACGTGAAAAGTTTTGGGCCCTTATTATATTATCGTTTGCAGAATGGGTTGTTTGTAGAACATTTCTCATTTTTGCTTAACCAAATGTGATTTATGCAGACGAAGTTGATCATAGACCCTCTTAAAAAAACGATAGCTTTATTGAGTAGAACAGCAAGCTAATAATAATTATTGAACCACTAAAAAAAAGAAAGGGTTAAACCCTTCCTTTTTATCAACTATATTCAGTTTCACGTCTAAAAAAGTACTTTTACTCTGGTTGACAATGCAATCCAAACCAATGGGGATGTAGTCCAAAAGTTTGTAAATGGATTTTCGCAAGGGGTTGAAGAGGGGTGAAAGTTGGTAGAAAGTTTTAAATTTAAGAGTTAAAAGGATGGCGGTCAAAGCTACAAGTAAAAGTAGAAAAGAGTTTGGCTTAATCATATTAAAACAGAGACCAACGAAAGTTAATAATCCACATCCTACCTTGTGTTTAGAAAGAGTTTCCAACTAAGCAGTCAAGTCTAAATTTAAAACTATAACTTTTAAAGTTTGTCTGTTAACTTTGCCTAATCTTTTTGTGTTATCTTCCATTCCAAAATCAATCTACATAAATATTATAAAGAGGTAAAATTTGTAAGTTTGTATGTAGGGGTAATCTTTGGGACCGCTGGTCGGATTTCCAAAACTCTTTCACTGAGTGGCCGTACAATGTTACGCAATACATTTCAGTCGAGTTATCGCTTTAAATGCTGCTGTTTTTAAAATTCTAGGATACATTACTTTAATAGGCGAGCAAAGCCGTGGCGCGATTATCTTACTAATATTATAAATGCGAAAGTGACGATGTTTGGATGTTTGTTACTTAATCACGCCAAAAGGGCTGTGCCAAATCATCAAGATCCTATCTGGATGATTTGGCACAGACATAGGACACACTCCGGAATAGGACAGAAGCTACTTTTTATCAACATATTAAGCGGGCCAAGCCGCTGGTGGAAGCTAGTGTTACATATTTTCTTAATTAAGGTTACGTGCAAAAGATTTTCTAAATAATTACTGAGTAAAGTAATTACCACATTATCTATGTGGTAATTAAATTTCACCGGCAAAGATTACAATTTTAGTGTTAAACGATTTTACTAAGCAAATGTTAAAACCCTTGTGTGTTAAAACCTTGACTAGGTAACTACTTTTCTTTTGATATTCAAATTAACCTTAACAGCTTCTTAATTTGAAACAAGCATCACAAAATGGTGTTGTAGTAATTAGAATAGAATTTTACCTTTATGAAACAAAATACTAAAAATCTTTTGGATATTTGTTCACTGAGTTTCATATTCTTAGTAGTGACGGACGCTACAAACGCTTCACAGCGAGATTTTTCGGTATTTTTAAATTAAATGTCTTATCAAAAAGGCGTCCACGAAAAGATTAAGTCATTATTCTGAAGTATTGTTTAGATATGGAACTCTAATTTTCTTAAAAAGGATAAACCTTCAAGTGTCTCTTCACCTGCTGTCTTATCAACTACGTTTTTAATTAAAACATCAACATTTTAATCGAGTGACAAGTCAAGAGCCTTTGTAGATCAAATAATACAAACGAAGTTGCTGCCAGTGATCCGTGTACTAAAACAATGATAATTAAGCCTTGAGTATAATTAATTTTCTACGTGATTAATGAGGTTATAGTGTGAATAAGTTAGGCTTTAATGTAATTGGAAGTTATTGCGTTATGTAAAGAGCATTTCTAATGAAATTTCTTGGGTGTGTTTTCGAAGAAGTACGTGATGAATTAGGATTATTTTTCGACTTGATAAAGGCAAGTATTTATTTTGTACAAGCTTGTCAGGCTTGGATAAAAAGAAGCATATGTATAACCTACATATAACCAGGGTAATCTACATACCAAATTCCAACCAAATAGGTCCATCCGTTTTTCCGTGACTTAACAAACTTCTACATTTATAATAGAAGTGGGATAATATTAATAGGATTTCAATTGTTTTTTTTATAAGACGTTCCCCCACATTAGGATTTTCTTCTGAGTCGTGGGTGCGTTTACAAACATACAATTTCACATACACATGACACCCAAACCCGGAACAACATACAAAAAGTGGTTCCGTGCGGGAATCGAACCCGCGACACGTTGCACGGCAGCTAGTTGACCAGCCACCGCACCAACCGCGCAGTCTTTTGCCAGTTGTTAAATTTGTTAGTCTAGTCATTTATTTATTGCCTATTTTTTGTTTAGGTGGAAACAATAGGCGATGCGTACTGCGTGGCTAGCGGGTTACATCGCAAGATTGATACTCACGCGCCGCAGATCGCTTGGATGGCATTGCGCATGGTTGAAACTTGTGCCCAGCATTTAACACATGAAGGAAACCCTATAAAGGTAAGTACAACATTTCTAAAAGATGGATACAATACATATAACACTCACAGATACAAAGAAATTTAATATAAGTTAAAATGTAACAGATAATTTTATAGTTAGTGGGCTCAAGCAACATAAAATGGTCATACATGATGTATTTTTATGTAATAGGACAGCAAACGAGCTTTTTAATTACCTGATGGTAAGCGATCAACGCCGCTCATGGACACCCGCAACAACGGAGGTGTTACTAGTGCGTTGTCCAACGTTTGGGGGCCAAACCCCTAATGGGTTTAGCCTCCAGTAACCTCACTCACACGGCGAAGCAGCTCTAACGCCGTAGTTGGTACACGCCAGTTTTCCGTGTGTCTGTGATATCACTCCGGTCAAGCCGATCCATTCGTACCGAAGCATGGTTCACCCACACTTAAGCGTTTTCTGTTAAAAATCTACCGACGTTTACAGCTTACTTTTATTATCTTATATAATTTTAGCTATAAAAACATTCCAAGATTGTTAGATGTGTATAAAACTTTGATTAACCTCTGCGTCCTACTTAATGGCTTTAAGGTAAACGCAGTTGTTTACATTCTGAGGCAAGTTGTTGGTTCTTTGAGGGAATTAGGTTACGTTAGTACACACCCACTGACTTTATAGTTTCACGCTCTTCTTTAATTATTTTCTTAATTACGTTAGTATTTTTCTTGGTCATTTTCGTAAGAAAGTAATTTTAGAATAGATTTTCGACTTTTAACGAAATTTCTAGTTTTGATCTATACTAGAGAGACAGATTTATGGATCACACAAATAATGATATCTCCTTATTTTATTTACCACTCCAATTTCATTACAGAAAATCCTAATTGACACAAAATAACTTTCGTATAATGAAATTCTTTAATAGATTTGGTCCTTTCATGTGCAAAAGGACCAAACTAAGCAATATTCATATATAACACGTTCTCTAAGAATCTCTCATTTCTCAATTTGGTAACGTGTTATGTTTGTTCCTAGATGCGCATAGGTCTTCATACTGGGACGGTTCTAGCTGGAGTAGTCGGAAAGACCATGTTGAAGTATTGCCTATTTGGACATAATGTCACACTTGCCAACAAGTTCGAGTCCGGATCTGAACCTTTGAAGATCAACGTCAGTCCAACTACTTATGAGTAAGTATTTTAATTTATTATTATCAATTCCTACGCTGCTTCATTCTAGCTACTTGGTTCATTTTGATCGTAGCGTGATGTTTTATTGCATGCTTCGATAAATGGACTATCCAATAACTTTTGAATTCGAACGTATTAGTACCGACTCTTCGTCTTTATCACATCTTTTGCTGACTTCGTTGGATGCAATGAGGTGTTTTGAAATGTACTATATTATTTTAGACATGTTATTTTCAACATTTTATTCGAATCAGGCCAACAGTCTTGCTCGTTCTTCTCCATCGGAATCTACACTTTGGAACGAGCAATAGCTTCACTAAGAAGACTGACCGACAGACTGACACTATATCTTCAAAATTTTTGTTTGACGTTCAAAAGTGCCTGTAAAGGTCTAATTGATAAAAAAAAAAGTTGTCTAATTTTACACGTAGCAACACAGTTAATTTCAACGAGTCATTTGGGCATCAACGGCCGCCATTTTAACGTGAAATAAGTTGTATATTTTTGCCTTCTTAATTAGAATCTTTTAAATTTTACATTAAATATTAAGGTTTCGTTTAGTTATGCCATGAATTTTTTATTCAGAGTCATAGCTTACTATCTAGATATTTTAGCATTGAATAAATCCACTAGGAACAGTCACCATCTAACGACGTCCTCAGACTATTTAGCCATTTACACTGACGAACTATTACTATTACAAAGCGGACAGTCCAATAACCATCTCTCTTACCTAAACATCGCTCCAATCAAAATCCAAGATCATTCAGTTGAAATGGAATACTATTGAAAGGCAGATATCTCAAGCTTCGAATCTTCGGAAGCGAGATTGGTACTCCACTGTGGTCTGTAGAATTATTCTCATTGGCTTTAACTGTGGTGTAGTTGCAATATTTCTTAGAGTGTACTGTTTGAGTACAAACTGAGTAATACCTTTGAAATGTCACGTTTGAATACAGATGCTTCAAAAGACTGGATTGCCAAGCTTTTTGGCAAATATTGGTAAGCCAATAAATACCATAGTCAATTTCATCTGTGTCGCGAAAGTTAAAAACACGAACATAAACATTATTTTATTTATCTTTTCAAGTAGCTGCCTCATCAAAACTAAAATCAGAACAAATTTACCGGATTTATTTGTATATTTTAAAATTTCGTTGCCTCACACTAGAATTTTCTCCTGTGCCGTAAATGCATTTACAAACATAAAAAAAATACATACACAAATTAGACCAGAGCCAAAAAAACAAATTGTTGATCACACACAATGTTGTTCCGTGCGGGAATCGAGCTCACGACATATTGCACAGCAGCCAGGTGTTTAGCCACTACGGCAACCGTGTAACAAATAAATTAATACAAATACAATCATTCTAAAAGCATACAGCCTTCATACAGTTTAATATAATAACATAATGTATACAGGCATGTTTATGAAACACTTTAATATGTATGTATCTACAAAAAACCAATTAGGTCATGTCTAGCCTAAAACAAAATACACCAAGAGAGCTGTTAGTGACGGCTTTTACTTGATAAAATTCTGGGTAGAGTTTCCGTTGTGATCCATTAGTTTTGGCGTGAAAGGGTGTGCTTTATGACCAAAGTGGCACATATTTTAATGGCTTCATATGAGGCGATGAAATATATGAAATAAATATGTGAACTTTACATTTTCATATTTTGATCAAGGGGTGAATTTTCTTGTTGTATTTCGATGAAGACTCATTTTGCGTTCGCATTTTTATGTATACTTAGTTGGATTATAAAATTGTACTCATTATAAATTATGTACATATGTAGTTTCAAAATAAATAGGTGTTTTCATAATTTGATTTTACATAGAAATGTTTTGTTTTTGTAAATTCAATTAAAAAGAATTCGAATTTGCTTCCACTAAGAATCTATGTGAAAAAATATAAAAGTGAATGCTCGGAAAAAAAAATGATGATTGAGAACAATAATATAAAATATGTAGATAGGAAACTTTTACCTACTTGTATACCACTACCTGTAGCCACTATAAGACTGTTGAGAATTTTGAAAGGAGGAAACTTAATAACTAACCTAAATTAAAAAAAAAATATAGGGCTTTGCATGTTGTCCACTCTTAAAATAATTCCATAAATTCCTTTTTTAAAACTCTCCTATAACCTACAGCAGAGGCTAAGTCCCCAATTTTCTTAAATCAACAATTTTGACAGGTGGCTAATAAAATTCCCGGGCTTTGAGATGGAGCCCCGGGATCGTTCGTGTCTACCAAATTCGTTCCCAAAGGACATCCCGGGAACGTGTTATTTCCTTCACAAGTATTTACACCCGGGCACCGACCCCTCAGCTTCCCAGGTGAGTTTTTATCTATTTTTATTTTAATTTTATGGCATTTTATGGATTTTATTCGTTGATTTATTGTTATTCGTTGATAATTTCGTCATTAATTTAGGGCTGATTTTTCAATGGTTAGATAAAAGTTACCTGTCGCTGTTTGCATAAGACAGTGACAGCAACAATTTTATTCCTCAGATAACATTTATCTGACTATTGAAAAATCAGCCCTTAGTTGTATTTGGTGACGCTGTTTTTTTTTTTATTTATTTAAATCGGTCATCGAATTATGTTTTGTAATTCGTATTTACAATACATTTTTTTAGATATTAAGTAGAACAGTTTATTACAATAATTCGAAAAATAAATTCGTCGAAAATTATTTTGTACTTCCAGTATATAGTTCTTTTAATACAGTGACATTTGACCTGTATCTTAATTTAAGACTTGATCGTGATTAACGTCTAGGCTAGGGCTAAGTTCAAACGATTTGGCTCTTCAAAAACCAATTTCAAGTGACACCCAATTTCGGTTAGTAACCAGTCTGCCATCGGCCTAATTAAATTAGTGTTCGTTCAAATATTTGACGCTAGAAGTAACCTTAAACTTCTTAAGTACATATTTCTAGAAAATTCTAATCCACATTATGAATACTAATGAATTACTCGAAACTCATTATTGCTACTCCCTAAGTTAACGTTGTACTAAATTATTAACTTTTCAAAAGTTCGAATAACCTTGAAATGAAAGGTTAGGGTTGTAACAAAGAATTTTGTAACAAAAAACTGTTCTAAAAAGTAAAAGTTGAAGGAGAAATATAAAAAAATAATAATGAATAAGTCAGAGGTTTCATAATTACGAGCTTTGCGGTAGATTGCTGCATCATTATGACGCTGTCGCAATGTTTCTTTTTCATTCAGCCTTTAATAGGGTAGCACATCCCTGTTAAAGGCTGGGTGAAAAAGAAATAATGTGGTACATTCGATATTCAAAATAAAATTTTATTTTTATTTCATTTTAAAAGTGATACACTATTTTAATTCATATTATGTTTAATCTATTAAAAAGAGTTACGTGTGAAAATAGTTTTTAGCTAATAGTTAATTGGTATACACTTCGTATAATATCAGTTCGAAAAACAAAAAAAGCGGAATAAAAAATAAAATAAAATATTATTGAAAAACTTAAACTTTGTTGTTTGCCAGAAACAAGTAACTTTCATAATTCCGAAGGGTTTATTAGATTGAATACGAACAAAAAAAAAAAACTTTTTCGAGTCCATCAAAGTCAGATACCGTTTTTTTCTATTTCGACAACTTCCTTATTTCGAACAGATATTGGCCAAACTTTGAATGTTTTTCTATGAATCTTTGATATCTTCGAATGGTTTGTGGTCTTATATTTTCTTTTTTGTTTCGTTTACAAACTTCCGACTTGTTTACGAATTTTCTTTTCGACGAGAGTAAAGGTTCGAATTCGTAATGTTCCTTTATTTGACAGGTCAAGCATATACAAGACGCCTTGAAAGACTTCAACATTGGTCAGACAAAACCTGATGACATAGAAAATGATGAATCGAGTGGAGCAACCGAATCTCAGAACTAAAAACCCAAAATCGATTACAAAATAAAAACAGAATTAATTGTAAATACTTACCTCAAAAATTGCTTTGTTCGTGATTTTTTTTTCATGTAAAAATGTCACTTAAATGTTATAATACTCTTAGATTTTAGGCGTTTTTCCTTTGACGTTGTTAGTTAAGGATTCTGTGGCTATGTTGTTGAAACTGATTGCTTTTCTATTAGATGTATGTAATTTAGGGCTAATAATTATTGATATTGCGTACATATTACAAGCATAGCGTATTTTAATTCACTAATAGTGACATTTGAATGTTTCTGTCTATTATGTATATTGATTTTGAAATCAGTACCTCTGAATATTCCTAAGTATTTAAATGTACCTTCCTTCTGTATTTATTTTCTATCTATCTTTTTGCTAAAGTATTTAAAAAAAATGCCAATCGCAGATAGAACTATGGTTTTGTAGATATGAACAGTGCTATAAGCCAAATGACATTACAGAGCTTGTCTCTATTCTTGCGAGAAAAGAAAACTCAATATGTGGTTCAATATTGACGGAAATTTGGCACATGCCAGTCTCATCCAGGGGAGGCCAAATCCCACACCTCCCATTCCCAATCCGTAAATCCTACAATCTCCAAAAAATCCTCTGATATTGCGGATGTCCATGTTTATAGATACTTGTTGGCCAACTTTGTCTCATACAAGAAAACCTATGCATTGTGTTTTCGCCCCTCTTGGTAGACAAGCACCTGGATGCCATTAGGCTTTTAACACTGTTTTGCTGCTAAAAGAGACATTACCTAGGGAAAATTTTTGAGTCGCATATCGGCAACATTGTTTTTTTTTTTTTGGTCTGTAAGTAATTCAAAAGTAATTTTGTTGACTAAAGTAGAAGTTATTAACCTCATTCCAAAAAGGTTTTAGCCTTTAACTCATGTAAAGCGTAGTTCACATTACTCTTATACATTTTTACCAACACATTTTCGTATAGAAGTAATTTATAGTGATCTGTGTGAAGCTTTACTATGTAATCTTAAGAAATATGTACATAACGTTGAACCTGGGATAATTACGACTTACATAGATAGTAATGCGACGCTGTAGATAAAGGTAAATGTAAATTAAATAAATGTTTTGCTTATAGATATAACTCGTTCAGAATATAATAGAAAAAAAACATTATAAGTACGGTACATAAAATTTGAATTCAGAATAGAAAATAGTTGGAACAGATGTATTTGTAGTATTTTTCCTATTTATGTAAATTTTTTTTTCGTTTTCGGCTACTTATGTGAAATTAAAATCAAAATGTGTTAAAAACTTTTTTATAATTTCTTTTTCTAGTGATGTTGTAATTCTAAATTCAAATTAAAGTTGTCATTTCCAATTTTGAATCATACTAACTTTTTTCGTGGCCATTTTTTTTCACTTCTTAGTATTTATCTCGACGCTAAGAATTTCGACGAAAAACTTTTTATACTACCTATATTTTCATTTATAATATATTTATTGTTATACTATAGTGTTAAGTAAAATTGTATATTAAACTTCTGAACACTATACATACTTATAAAAAAGCGTATGTTCTAAAATAGTTAATGTGCTTACTGCGTACCTTGAATACTGTTAGGTATTGTAATTAATTAAAGTAAATAAATAAAAATATTGATTTTCATATCTTTATCAAGAGCTAAAACACTGCGTTCAACATTACGGGTACATTAGCACTCATAGGAACCAAAGAACCAAATAAACAGGTTCAAATTAAAATCTAAAAGTATATTCGTAAGTCCACCTTATTTAGACGCTTTATATTATAATGTAGTCGATCAATACATTGGATGGTTGTATGTCATTGTAAAAATCATAATACGACCAATTTGTGATGTCACTATTCATGTATACTTTTGACTTTATATCCTCTATAACGAATGAAAAATATTCTAGAATGTTCTAGAGACTCTTCAAACATACTCACAGGCTATTTATATAGGTACTCAGTATTTTATAAAATACATAGCCATAAACATTCCACATTTAAAAAAAAAACATTTAAATTTTTGCAGTGTTGTGATTTAGTGTATTAGATTAAATTGTGTAAAATAAACCGTTTCTTTGCTAAGATAAAGTTCATATTGCTATGCTTGAAAGTGTTTGCGTCACATATCGCGTAGGTTATATTTAACATTGTCATCTAGTCACTAAATGTAAGTAATTTTAGTGTTGTGTTATTTAATTAAAGAATATAACTCTGCATCGATGTCATTGACAACAAGACATCTGTTTTTGACATAGCTACCGTTTATCCACGTGTGTGTGTTTTCAAGTCATTATTTTTCAATTCTAATTTTAAACTTCTTACGAAAATATTTTTTATTTATTAAACACATTTTTTTTTGTTCATTTATATAATATTGCAGAGTTATATTAAAAATAATAAATCTTTTTGACTAGTAGGTAATTGTCATAATAGTTTTAGAAATTAAAAATAATCTATTTAATTTAATAGACAATAACGTATGCATTTTATCTGTCTCCGAATTAAAATCTATAGAAAATTCAGTATTTAATCCTAATAAGCAGAACATAGAAATTAAAAATCAAAACATGGAATCGTAATAAAAGTTGGGGCGCCTTATTATACAAGTGAAACGCCTATTTGGCACGAACCAGCATTGAAAACGCGGCGAAAACGCGGCGTAGACGCAAAAATAGACAAATCTATCTACAAATTTCATATTATGTGATATAACCTTTTTTATTATATAGCAGCTATGCATACATTGGCAACCACAGCCTTAACATGATTCGTATCGTCTTGTTAATTAAAAAATCAATGTTTACATGGGTGTCAAACAATAAAAGTTTTGATATTTACACATGAAAAATGTATGTATAGTTAACTTATTATGTTCCTAGCTTTTTAACTTATACCATTTGTTCATATATTAGGCAAATTTTGTAGCATTAAAGTAAGAGAATTTATTTGCGTTTACGGCGCTTTTCATGGTCGTAATCGCAACGTCAACGCAGCGTGACCGTCGATTTCGCGCATTACAAACTTATTGCACTGTTACGGCAATAAGACTGTGCTTATGTATGGTTTGCAAATCACCAGTATGATAAGTGGCAGGTATTTATGACAAATTCACCACAATTAATATATTATTTATCCAATAACATTGTGCATTGAACAAAATATGAAAAAAACAGGTTTTCGTTGTAATAAAATGAACGAAATATATTTAATCAAATATGTGTTTTTATAAAGAGCCGTTAAAAAAAAATAAGGCGCTTTTTTGTTTCATGTTACTTTTACAAAAGAGGTGGAAAATGTAGACCTCAATTAAAATATTTTTTGTTGTCCGTTGTTACGAAGAAAAACTTGAAAATGATACGTAAATAGTTTTCTTTGTAGCATTGCTTTTTATGATTACAACTATTTTATGACTATAAAAACGAAGAGAGAAAACAACACAATTTTATTTGAGTACATTTTAAATCATAATAGTTACCTACTCTTGGTTTTATAAGGATTTCAAAAGTGATAATTTTTTACCGATTTAAAAGAGAAATGTTTTTTCAATCCAAATCATAAATGACAGAGATATTACGCGGAAATATTCGCAAAACCATATGGTAGTACGGTCGAATTAAGAAGAAGCTCTCGCCATTTTTAAAATCGGTTAAAAAATTATGTACATTTTTTTTCTTAGTTTCGTTATCTCGTACTTAGTTGAATTAACTTTTTTGTGGTTTTCAAAAAAGTATTTTTCTCTACTCTATCAAGCTTTGAGTCCCAAAACCCTTCTTATTACTCTAAAACCGAATGATTGGTTTTTTTTTTCAATAAAAAAAGTACACCTTGTTCTCACTCACTTTAAAGTAGATTTTCTTTCAAAACAATACAATGTTCATTCATTTTTACTCTTGTTGTCGTACTCAGGGATGTTTAATGATTACTTAGACTACTTCTTAGTAATGATTTTGTTCCGAAAACTTGCTAAAACTGGGTTCAGAGTCAGGGTTGTGGGTTTAAGCGCAATAATATACCGAGGCGCCGCCGCCGGCCTGGAGCAAGATAAGGAATGGGGTGGGTTTTAGTCTGTAAGAGTCTAAATTGTTTGACTCCCTTTTTCCCACCTACGGAAAGAGAAGTCATTAGAGGAATTTGCCTCCTCAAAATAAGGACTTGTTTAAGGAACCATTAGATAACTTTGAGTATATCATATAGAGTTTCTTTGTTCAAATAACAATTAAGGACTGATTTTTCAATGGTTAAATAAAAGTTAGCTGGGGAATAATTATGATGCTGTCGCGTCAGAATGTTTGTATAAGACAGTGACAGCAACATTTTTTCGTCAGAAAAACATTTATCTGTCTATTGAAAAATCAGCCCTAATAAGTATAATATAAGTCTAGCTTATAAAAAGACTCATATTAATTCCTGCTAAACATATGCTAGAAAATATTTCATTATTTGTATATGTACATATATCTATCTTCATATATCTAATATGTAACTTCATATACCATTTATATATATAGGCTTACATAATATGTATATTAAATAATAACTTGTAACTTTTACTCTGTCTTATAAATGTAAATCTTGTAGATTACTTATGTGCAAGTAAGATTCATTATTTCATAATTTATTATATTATTATTATTATAAAAAAAACTATTGTTATATGCCTAAGGACACGGCCTTCTGTAGGGTATAATTATCACAAATCTTTAAGTCTAATGAAATTAGAGAAAAACTATAATAAAAATATATATTTCACAACTATTGTAAGCTATTTATATGTCACTGCTATTTCGAACGTGTACCATTTTTGTTTTCTCTATTTTTTTTTAATAATAGTTTCTTGCCATAAGAAACTTTAACTGTGAATGCACTGTTAGTGAAAAACTATAAAAAAAATAAAAATGTTTCTTTCATAAAATGTTTGTTTTATTTTTTATGAATAGCTTAATAAATTATACTCCTAGACCAATCTGTTGTTGCAGATGTTTATGAGTTTGGGTCCTATAGGGCTGATCTTCAGCCGGGGTTGCGGGGTAAGTGCAATGAGGCACCTTGACCAGAGCAGGAGAAGGAACGGGGGTGTTTTTAGTCAGTAAGATTCTGACACTCCCTTAGTCATTTGATAATAGTAGAAGTCATTTGATAATTTTCCCCTCACAAAAAAAGGTGCCAATGAGTTAAGTCCAGTTTATATTGATTGAGCGATCTAGAAATGAAAACAATTTTATATATGCAACCTCACCAAAAATAACTCAGTACACATACAAGAACGATGAAAATAACTTCAATAATATTGATATAAATAACTTTACTGCCCTAGGCTTCAACATATTACAAGAAGAACAATTTAAATCACTTCGAGAAACTTTAATTACGCTACGATTCTTCCACCCTCCTTCCCCCACCTAATTGATGACGTGAAAAAAATACTTTTACGTAATTAAAAGGAAAACATCGAGACCTTTTAATTATAAATGAAACCTAATATTGTCCAAATAATTATATAAGTTTACGAAACAATCTCCGAATCTCAAGAGTTTTGCAATCTTTACATACATACCTATATTTACTTCCAAAAGATCTCTCGATAATTTTCTTTGCAACAGCTGATGGAAAACAATTAATGTACGTGTGGAAAGTTTAATTGAAAACTGGGTATAATGTGTTTTGTTTAATAAATGTTTCGTGGAAGACGGAAAACTGCTGAGAACGATGCAAAGCTTACAAGACAAAATTTTTTTTAGGTTAAGTTCTTACTTATCATAATGCAGCAGCGATTGAGGGGATTACAAGATATTATTATCATCATCATCAGCCGGAAGACGTCTACTACTGAACAAAGGCCTGTCCCTTAGTCCTCCACGTCGAGCGACAACTCGCCACCTGCATCCATTGGATCCAAGGCCGGAAGGATTTTACATAACTTATAATAACATCTTAATACCAGTAGTTTCAAAGCTATTTTATGAAGAAAAGACCAAGCTGATCACCTGATAGTAACACACTGTTCATGTTACTGGAGCATTGAGTTCTAGGTCCAATACTCTGACACTTCCTCTGGTCCCACTTTGGGCAAGAGAAGCTATTTGATGTTATTCACCCTGAAAATAAAAACCGTTTCTTCGTGTAAGTGTTACTCAAGGGGAACCGAGGCATCAGTCCGAAATTTATATACTTAATTTTCTCATTATACTGCATTGATATAAAGGCTGAATGCGTTTCGTCTTCATTAAAAGGGACATTTAAGCCCAACATAATTATAAGGAAATATAAAAAAAAATATAAACGGGCTGAAGGTAAATTTTAATGAAACATTTTCATTTTATCCAACTACTAACTGAAGACATTAAGGTTCCTCAATTAAATTTAAAGAAACCAGATACGAGGGTCCCAGCGACATATTCTTTAGAGATGTAGTTTATCCAACGACCAAAAACTTTAAATCCATTAAGTCTATAGACAGAAAACCGCATGATAACATCATGATGGGACATTACCTTAACTTTTCTAGGTCCTTTGATCCTTATTAATTACTTTAAGTGCGTCAACACGTTAGGAATGACATCAACCTAATTCCACCTAATGTTTCTGTCCCTTAGTTAATGTAATGAGGTGTGAGAAGGACAATTCTATTATTGATTCTGTTATGTGTAGGTACTATCAACTACGGTTTACTGATCTGAACGTCCAATTGCCGAATTTGCTAATTCAGTAATTTGTAGATTAATTCAATTGGGTAGTTTCCTAGGTCAAAGATAATTAATTCGACGTTTTAATACGATAAAATATTGAAATATAACTATACTTTTATTCATCGATCGATCGATACACTAAGTTTTAGATATTTTTAAGCTAGTTTTTTAAAAATAAGTAAGCTATTTGACGCAAAAATGCTATGACGTCATAATTCAATGTTTCATACAATTTTCATAGAAAAGTATCGTTTTTGACATTTGGATAAAAGTATTGAATTTGACTAGTTGGAAACAACCGTATTGTATTACTTACTTAATTTATGAGAAGACAAGCAATATACGCGATGAGATAGACTGCCCAAATAAAGAGGGGCAATAAACTACCCTGTCCGCGAATGTTCGAGAAAAACTGCGGTTCCGTGCTGAAGAATGCCATCGTGTTATTCATGTATCATGCAGACTGTTCTTGATTGACGACCACGACCATGC